GCCGCGTCACGGATGAACCCAGAAAACCTCACGCTGCGTGAAGAGGCCACACGTGGCGAGCCCGTTCACATGAAATACCCAGAACAGCAAATGCAGAGACGGGACGTGGATTAGGGATTCCGGGGGACGGGGGACAGAGAAGGGGAGTGGGTGCAGCCTCTTTCTGGGATGACGATGACATTCTGGGGCAACGGGCGTATCTATCCGTGGGCACATCACCCACCACCGAATTGTGCACTGTAAGCGGGGGGACCCGTGTGGAACAGGACTCACGCCACTGCCCGGCCTCAACTACCCTCCTGCATGTGCCTGCTGAGCTTCACCCAGCCCCTCGATCCCACCCCCACCTCCCGCCCATGGCCTGTGCTCCACCCACCTGGCACCTTCTCACCTTTCCAGGGTCCACTCGTGTGTCACCGCCCAGGCCGCCTAGGCCCCGCCCCGCTTCCCTGGCTGGGCACCACCACCTGGAACCGTGTCGTGTGCACAGAGCTCACTGACGGCAAGCAGCCTGGTGCGCACATCCCTCGCCCAGCAGGGGCCACTCGGACCCCAGGCCCCTTTTCGGCCAGGATGGTGATGCCCACAAACCCCTCCACTCTCCTCACCAGCTCCTACCCACTTGCCTTTTCTGTGGGCAGCTTCACCCCTCACTCCAGGCCTGAAAATCCACGCGCTCCCTCCTCTGCCCCCACCTGGATCACCTCTGACCCCCACAGCTGGGCCTGTCAGGCTCTCCCCTGTGGTTTGAACACTGAGGGATAGTCTGCAGCACCATGGGAAGCGCAAGCCCTTTTCTGTGGGGACAGGGAGCTCTCCGTCAACCTCTCCCGTCCCATTCCTTCCACAACGATTGGTCTGCTCAGACTCTTTCCACCTTACCTGGGTCGGCTGAGTAGACCCTACTTCCCCAGAATGTAACCCGCACCCATCCGGGTTGTCCAGTGCTCTCAGAAAGAGCTGAGCAAAGCAGTCCGTTTCGATCCTGCTCCTCTGTCCCCTCCCCACCTCCACCCCCATCCGCTGTCTTCCCCTTTTCCTGGACTGCCTCCCAGGGAGTCTATCTCATGGCTCGGTCACTTCCGTCCACCTCCCGTCTAGACTGGCCACCATCCTCAGGGGCACCACGCACCCCTGCCTCCAATCCTTCGTGGCCCACCCAGGGTGCGGCCCACCCCAGGGGCCCCAGCAGGAGGCACACTCCAGAGGCCCTAGTCACCACTCCCCACTACGTCCCAGGGAGAAAAGTTTCTAGAATTCCCAGAACCTCCCTGTGCTGTCATGGCAGCAGGCGGGAGGGGAGTGTGGAGGCCACCTGCCACCATCCGGGAATGCTCAGCATTCAGATCTACAGAGATGTCTGTGAACACTCCTGATTCTTAAATCTTGGCCAGTAACTAAACATTGCTTACACAAACAAAAATATTCTCCAGGACAGAAAAAAAAAGACACAAGCACACCTACAGACCGCCTATGTGTCACTGGTCAATCAGACCAGTGGGCCAGACCCCCATTCTCTAGTGGGCCTGTTTGTCCACATTCTACCTGCAGACGGGCTGCCGGGGCCCAGCAAAAGTAGCACCTCCCCCAGGAAGCCTTCCCAGACTTCTCTCTTCCCTTAGCTCAACTGTCCTCTTTTCAAATAATAGTAACAAATCCCACTCACCGAGCACAACTACATCTCAGAACTGGGTGCAGGGTGCTGTGGGTTCATAATCCTAATCCCCACAACCCCAGGCGGAAGAGAGGACAGGCTCTCTGGGCAGGCTGCCAGAGTCAGAATCGGCCCCACCACCCCCCAGCCATGTGACCTTGGACAAGGTGCTTCAGCCTGTGAGCCTCCTCACCTTCGTGAGTCCTACATCAAGATCAAAGCAGAGCTCTTCGTGAGTAAAGAGCTCAACAGGGAGCCAGATGCCCAGTACGTGCCTCGTGACCCCTGAGAGAACTGTTCAAACTGGGGTTCAGACAACTTCAGTGGCTGACCTGTCATCACAAAACCATGAAGTCGAGGAGCACAGACTCCAGCTGGGTCGGCCAGCCTCCAAGGCCGTTTCTTTTCTCCGCGCTCTTAGGACGCCAGCCCCGGCTTCCTTAACTTCCCCGGGGTGGCCTGGCAGAGCAGCACAGGGCCCTGGTCCACCCACCCAGGCTCGGCGTGGCTGGCTGCTCAGCAGTCGTGAGGCGACAGCTCTCTGTGCTACTACAACAAAGCCACCAACACTATGAGCGTCAGAGTCACACCTGAAATGAGAGGCTGGGTCTCAGAGTACCCTGAACCAGCCAGTGACCCTGCAGATACCTTCGTGACAACGCACCCGTGGCAGAGGGAGACCAGAGTCCCCAACCCTATGACTGATACCTAAGAGGCCTTCATGACGGCCTGTATCTCCCCAGACCCCAGGCGGCGGCATGATGGTGAAGGGCCAGGTCCTGGACTCTCGCACACACTGGTGCTCCTATGCAGCTGTGGGGCCTGGGGCTCGATCCCCCACCCCTAAACTGGGGGTAGTCACCCCCATCCCAGGGCCTCTCAGAGCTCAGAACAGCATGTACTAAGCGCAGGACCAGACGCCCGCCAGGCGCTCAGAAAGCCAAGTGCCAGCAAATTTAGTCTGTCTCCACCAAGAGGGCAGGGCCATAGCTGACTCCCAAGGCCCCAGCTCCCAGCACACACAAGGCCTTGGGCAGCATGGAGGACAACCAAAGGAGCTCACCGTCCTCCTCCCCGGAGTCCCAGGGTCCTCTTGGCCAATCCCTCCCTGTCCTTCAAGACTCTGACACACCACCTTCCCCAGGACATGCTTCTAGAGTTCCTGGGAGCTGTTCTGGGAAATTCCCCCAGTCCTTTGCTGCTTCTGTGTGTGTCTCCCCAACAGGTCTCCGAGCTGCTGCAGGACAGGAACTGCCAGTGCCGCCCGGCTCTGACTCTGGGCCAGGGGAGCCTCTTCTCCCACCCCACAGCAGAGCACTGCACCCGTGGGCCCAGCACACAGCCGAGTTGTCCAAGGAACGCTAGGCTGTGCTATCTTAGGGGAAAGGAGGAAACGGAGCATGAAAAAGGGAAGTGACAGATCCAAGGTCACCAGGACAGAAGAGACAGGAGACAAGGCCTGGCCTAGGAAGGCCTGGCCCCGGAGCCGTTCCCACATAGTTTATGGTCACTTCTCTGAGGTTTGTTCTCACTTTAAACGGAAAGCATGAGGAGCTTCCCTACCAAGATCAATACTATTATTAACATTCCATTTCACCTGGACAGAAATTGAGATGTTAACACTCATCTGTGCTGTAAAATCACAAAGTATGAGGTGTGGAGCTGGGATGTGAACGCAGGTCTGTCTGACCCCAGAGTTCTTAATTAATTGGTCACAGTGCTCCTCATGGGCCAGGCAGGGTGACAAGCCCTAGCCCTGCTCCAGCTCCTCAGCTGGGCTGGGGTGGGGGTGGGGATAGATCTGGAAAGCTTCCAGGGAAAAAACTAAGACATGAGATAACACAAGTCGGAATCCGATCTGAGTGTCGTCAGGGCTGAGGCAGAAGGCCGGAGGGCCAGAGGGGACTACAGCAAAGGCAGGCAGGTGAATGCCAGCTGCATTTAGCCAAAGAGGCTTACAGCCTTACAGAGGAGATAAGCCAGGATCAATGGCAACCGTGCGTCCCCAGAGCAGAAGCCAGCTCTGACTCCCAACTGGATCCTCGGCATTGCCCAACGCGGGGCCTGGCACCAGGAAACCACACACGTTGTCACTCCCTTCCTGAAAGCCCCCGGGACTGGGCTGTGCAGGGATGCCAGCCCTGGGCTCCCACAGCCCTCCCCACCTCCCGATAAGGGATCTGGGTGGGGACTCTGCCCTCCTGCTCCAGGACCTTGCTCATCTCTCTGCCCTGGCACCCAGTACGGGGCCGGCCCTGGAAGAGCCTGTGGGTCACTTTTCCATCGGGTGATGCCGCCATCCTGGGCTGGCCTGACCCCACGGGGCCAGTGGCACGTATCTCCAGGAACCGGGGTGTCCCCCCCTTGAGACCCGGACAGGGTCTGGGGTATAAAACAGCACAGCTAGACGCCCGGGAGGCCTCGGGGTCGGCTTCGGGCCGGGCCACCGTCCGCCCCTGTCCCGCGGGCCACGCGGTGCCTGACCTTGGCCCAGTCACTTCCCCTGCGGCGCACGCGCTTCCTGCCCGCCGCCCGCGCCGGAGCGAATGAATGAGCCTCCCGCCGGGCGAATGCCCTAATCACCGGCCGGATCAAAGGCCGCACGCAGCCCGCCCAGGGCAGCAGCGGAACCCGGGCTTCTCTGAAAAGGGGAAGGAGGTGGGGTGACAAGCCGGGGACCCAGACGCGCCCCCCGGGCCGCCGTTTCCGGTCAGGCCAGCCCAGCCCGCGCGTCCCCTTCCCCCACCGGGGCCTCAACTTCCCCCGGGAATCGCCACCACTTCCGGCCACGACCTGCCGGAGAAGCTGCGGCAGCCCCACCCCCGAGCCCCCAGCCCGAGCCCCGGCGCTGCGCAGGCGCGCTCCCTCCCCGGCGCGGCTCCGGCGCGGCGCCGCGCACGC